TGTTACATAGTCTACAAAATTCTTATATTCACCAAGGCTGCATTTATTTGATCACTAAAAGTTTATTATCAGTGTAAAAAAACAGTTGTGCTACTTATTATTTTTGTGGAAACCATGATCCATTTTTTTTCAGGATTCTTTGATGAACAGAAAGTTCAAAATAACAACATTTATTTGAAATAGAAATAATTTGTAACATTACAAATATCTGTACTGTCGCTTTGGATCAATTCAATGCATTCTTGCTGAATAAAAGTGTTAGTTTCTTTCAAAAAAAAAAAGTTAACTTTTGAACAGCAGTCAAGATGTTTTGTTGAACATTGTTGTTCCATAATGCTCTACTAGCTCTACCGGCTGGTCAACCAATTTAACCTACTATGGAACAGCTATAAACCAAGCACCATGTTCCAAAAATCAAGCTGGTTTTTCTTGTAGGCATATGAATAACAGGTCTTGTCTCTCCTATAGTGCTCCCCCCTGCTCCGCCACCTCCTCCTGCGGCCAAAAGACCACCACCTCCAGATCCAAAGGCAGCTCTTCCCCAAGTGCCTCCGGTTCCATCTGCACCCTCTGCTCCCCCAGTTATACCACCCGCTCCAGCTAGACCAGCGCCCATAGTGCCACCTGCTCCAGTGTTGCCCACGTCATTTTCATATAAATCCCCACCTCCTCCTGTACCCCCACAGCCAAAAGCCCCTGCACCCAAACCAGTAAAATCCCCCACTAGGTAAGATGTCACCTCCCAGCTGCATTACAAGGAACAGTTTATCAGATGCTGTTTTTTTTATAGGGATTTCAGGCGTTGGTTTTTTAGCATTGTTAGCATTTCTACATTATATCAGCTGCAATGTTCTGTGTATTTCTCAGGAATCCTGTTGGTCATTTTAGTAAAGATGCAAATGTAAATAAAGCTCCACCCACTGTCCCCCGACCAAGTGACAAAACAGGTGAATTTAATAATGCTTACGTACATGATGAATACAGCTCTAAATCCAAAAAATTGATATATTTTAGGTTGAAATAAGCTTTAATGGTCATTTTTATTAAAACGTTTTTTTTTTCTTCTCCAGATTCTGGGCCATCTGCCTCCGCACCAGCTCCTGTCCCTGCTCCCAAACCCAGAACGGCCCCACCTGTAAGTGACAGCCATTAAAATAACTTTTTTTCCCCTCAAAAGTACACTACCATTCAAAAGTTTGGTGTAGGTATGATTAGGTATGATGGTTTTTGAAAGCCTGTGTTTACTCTATCAGAATAACAAGTAATGACTGAAATATTGTAAAAAAAAAAATATTAGAATTTAAAATAACTGTTTTATATTTAAATATATTTTAAAATATGTTATTCCTGTAATGGCAAAGCTGAATTTATAGCAGCCATTACCCCAGTATTCAGTGTCACATGATCCTTCAGAAAGCATTCTAATATACTGATCTGGTGCTCAAGAAACATTTCTTATTATTATCAATGTTGAAATTGTTGCTTAGTATATTTGTAAATGCGTGACAGATTTTTTCAGGATTCTTTGATGAATAGAAAGTTAAAAATAACTGCTTTTATTTGAAATAGGAACATTACATGTAAATGTCTTTACTGTCACCTTGAGCAATTTAATGCATACTTGCTAAATAAAAACATTAATTTATATTATTTCACTTTTCAAAAATATTAATAAAAAAGAAATTTACTTCAAATTCTTGAACAAAATTTTATACGTAATTCTTCTTTTAAATGAAATGACATTTTTTTTTTCATTTATTTTTTTATTTTTTTCAAACAGATTAAAAATGTTTATATAGTTGCTCCAAAAATATTTTGAGATTTAAGCCACAATTAAATGTGAAATTTCATTGCATTACATTATATCAAACCAAGTGACATCTGCAAACATTAAGTGTTATTTTTCTTTAAAATAAATGTCACTCGATATTTTATTATACATATTACAGTTTTTTCAATTGCTTGCACACACAATCTTTACTTGTCACACAATTTCTGAAACCCGACACAAACACCAGAACCACACACCAAATCTGCAAAACCATACACTAATACTCGGCTTTTGACAGTTTTCAATTTCATAAAACACTTTTTTCAAAACACAACACTAACAGGAATCAATATTATGGCAAAGGTGTTTGCAAATGTTTGCTTTTGTGATATTTTGAATGTAGTGCTTTATTTTGCAAGAGATGTGAGGCATTTTGCATTTTGTGTGTCCAATGTTTATCAGATGCTGTTTTTTTTATAGGGATTTCAGGCGTTGGTTTTTTAGCATTGTTAGCATTTCTACATTATATCAGCTGCAATGTTCTGTGTATTTCTCAGGAATCCTGTTGGTCATTTTAGTAAAGATGCAAATGTAAATAAAGCTCCACCCACTGTCCCCCGACCAAGTGACAAAACAGGTGAATTTAATAATGCTTACGTACATGATGAATACAGCTCTAAATCCAAAAAATTGATATATTTTAGGTTGAAATAAGCTTTAATGGTCATTTTTATTAAAACGTTTTTTTTTTCTTCTCCAGATTCTGGGCCATCTGCCTCCGCACCAGCTCCTGTCCCTGCTCCCAAACCCAGAACGGCCCCACCTGTAAGTGACAGCCATTAAAATAACTTTTTTTCCCCTCAAAAGTACACTACCATTCAAAAGTTTGGTGTAGGTATGATTAGGTATGATGGTTTTTGAAAGCCTGTGTTTACTCTATCAGAATAACAAGTAATGACTGAAATATTGTAAAAAAAAAAATATTAGAATTTAAAATAACTGTTTTATATTTAAATATATTTTAAAATATGTTATTCCTGTAATGGCAAAGCTGAATTTATAGCAGCCATTACCCCAGTATTCAGTGTCACATGATCCTTCAGAAAGCATTCTAATATACTGATCTGGTGCTCAAGAAACATTTCTTATTATTATCAATGTTGAAATTGTTGCTTAGTATATTTGTAAATGCGTGACAGATTTTTTCAGGATTCTTTGATGAATAGAAAGTTAAAAATAACTGCTTTTATTTGAAATAGGAACATTACATGTAAATGTCTTTACTGTCACCTTGAGCAATTTAATGCATACTTGCTAAATAAAAACATTAATTTATATTATTTCACTTTTCAAAAATATTAATAAAAAAGAAATTTACTTCAAATTCTTGAACAAAATTTTATACGTAATTCTTCTTTTAAATGAAATGACATTTTTTTTTTCATTTATTTTTTTATTTTTTTCAAACAGATTAAAAATGTTTATATAGTTGCTCCAAAAATATTTTGAGATTTAAGCCACAATTAAATGTGAAATTTCATTGCATTACATTATATCAAACCAAGTGACATCTGCAAACATTAAGTGTTATTTTTCTTTAAAATAAATGTCACTCGATATTTTATTATACATATTACAGTTTTTTCAATTGCTTGCACACACAATCTTTACTTGTCACACAATTTCTGAAACCCGACACAAACACCAGAACCACACACCAAATCTGCAAAACCATACACTAATACTCGGCTTTTGACAGTTTTCAATTTCATAAAACACTTTTTTCAAAACACAACACTAACAGGAATCAATATTATGGCAAAGGTGTTTGCAAATGTTTGCTTTTGTGATATTTTGAATGTAGTGCTTTATTTTGCAAGAGATGTGAGGCATTTTGCATTTTGTGTGTCCAATTTTTGGATTTGTGTGTAAAGTTTTGAAAAAAAGAGGCAAAGTTTTTAAAATGTAAGCAGTTGAAAAAAATCTGTAATTGTGATGTCAGTGGCAAATCTAAAACATTTGTACTTGTTTCAGAAACAGAGACCTAAGAGAGTAAAGGCCCTATATAACTGTCAGGCTGATAACCCAGATGAACTGACCTTCTCTGAAGGAGAGGTGATAATAGTGGATGGAGAGGAGGACAAAGAGTGGTGGGTGAGTACGCAGTCATACTTTTTACAAAGTACATGTGCAAATCAGCTGACTGAATCATGGTGTGATCCTGATGACTCCTGCAGGTGGGCCACATTGACGGGGAGCCGAACAGGAAGGGCGTTTTTCCTGTCTCGTTTGTTCACTTCATCACTGACTGATGTCATACATTGCTGTCTTACTAAGATCACAGGCTTTTTGTGACAGAAACCTGAGACCGCTGATTATTTAACTAGTCGCCATCCTTATGGCTGGATGGTGGCATACGGGACATTCACAAATATAAGACCTCAGGAAACAGCTCACTTTATCAATTATTCCGATTCCAAGTGCAATTACCTCTAACTTTAATGCAGAAATGATGTATGAACTGTGACGAGTGCTATGCTTTATATGGGGACCATTTGTTTTTATAAACTGTAATATTGTTGGATCCTTACTCTCATCTTTATAGAGCTTTTTATCTATATCAGTTGCAGAGCAACTCTTATTTTGCAAGTGCAGTTAAGTGACATGTAGCTTGCATACAAAGTATGTTCTCCGAGTTCTGTTACCGAATAAGCCATTAAACCTTTTAACTCTGTACATTTAAAAGACTGGTTTATTTTCAGCACTAGAGATATATTTTTACAAAAATAACTGACAGAATATCAAAGTAGTGGCTCAACAGTTCACAGTATTGTTATACATTTCAATAGTTACACTACAGTTGAAAAGTTTGGGGTAAGATGTTTTTTTTTTATATTTATGAAAGAAATCTCTTACGCTCAACTGCACACAGCAATACTGTCAAATATTATTACTATTTAAAATTACTATTTTAATATATTTTAAAATGTAATTTATTCCTGTGACTGCATTACTCCAGTCTTCAGTGTCACATGATCCTTCAGAAATCATTCTAATATGCTGATTTGGTGCTCAAGAAACATTTCTGATTATTATCAATATTCAGTATTTTTTTCTCAGGATTTTTTGATGAATAGAAAGTTAAAAAGAACAGCATTTATTTGAAACAAAATTTTTTGCACCATTGTAAATGTCTTTCTGTCACTTTTGATTAATTTAATGTGTCCTTGCTGAATAAAAGTATTAATTTCCTTCCAAAAAAAAAAATAAAAATCTCAGACCTCAAACTTTAGCATACATTTACAAAGCACTCCCCAATAAACAAGGACATCTTGCCATATTGAAACAGGGTCCAAGGTCTATCTTCAACCACCACTGATTTTATTAATTTACAGCATATTCAGATGGTCCAAGAAAAAAAAAATCACCCTTTTCAAAAGACAACCTTCAAGTTTCCTCATAATGGTTATAGAAAAAATACTTTAAACTGTTCAAAATACTCATCCGTATATTTACAAATCAAAAATCTCCACATGATGTCTTTAACCCGGCAGAGTGAATATATGCACAGTGGTCTCTCCAAAAAGGCCAACAAAGTCTGTTAAGATGGGCTCAAAGAAGCAAAGGCTCTTCTTTTAGGTCCTTAAGCGCTCTGTACAGCTGCTACAGTATTTGAAACATCTGCAAAAACAAATGGGAAAAAACGTGTTCAGTCAGTCATTCTGCAGCCCTATCCAATGCAATATCAACTGCTGCAAGTTCAGGAACTGAACAATTGTCATGTTCATAGAGGTCCACAGGTGCAGGATCTCCATCCACTGGAGTGGAACCCTTTCTCCTCTGCAGTGGTGCTGGATCAGAGTAGTTGTTCCACTGGAATAAGGTTGGTACAGCCCCTTTCTTCACCAAGCGGCGCCCTTTAGGAGTCGACGGCTCTTTCACATCTTCTCTCTTGAAATGACGACTGCAGACTCTCATATGGGAAGTGATGATTAAATCCTTGCGTCGAATGTTGCATATCCACTTTTTGCGTCTTTCTTCGTCCGTGGGGAAAGATTGAAAGCTCAGCACAGAGTTGAACTTTGAGGAAGCCGAACACAATGGAACACAACAATGCTCAGCTGCACTACTGTCTTCCCGCCGTTGAAATGTAAACTTTCTGGATGCCTTTACTACAATGAGATATTGGGTATATTTGTAACAGTTCTATACTTCAAAAATGAATCATTGTTGAATTGGAGATACGAAGGCTGCGTCTTGTGCATAGAGTCCATTGCATACTGCTGGTCTCAAATGTAGGACTTTTCTAAATAACTATCCACAAGCACTGAGATTTGTTTGTTGACTGGACATTTTTGTTCTTTAACAGCTAATACCATTTAAATGTTTGGAGTCAGTAAGATTTGTTTTTGAAAGTCTCTTTTGCTTACCAAGGCTGCATTTATTTGATTAGTAAAAACAGTATTATTGTGAAATTTAATTCTTAAAATTCTATTTTAAAATATTAAATATGTTTTCCTGTGATAGCAAAGCTATATTTTCAGCAGCCATTACTCCAAGTCATCAGTGTGACATGTTCCTTCAGAAATCATTCTAATATATTGATTTGCTGTTCAAGAAACATTTCAGGATTAATTGATGAATAGAAAATTCAGGATTTGAAATAAAAATCTTGTGTAACATTATGAATATCTTTACTGTCACTTTTGAGCAATTTACTGCCTTCTTGCTGAATAAAAGTATTAATTTCTTAAAAAAAAAAAAATGTATTGACCCCAAACTTTTGAACGGTAATGCATCCAAGTGTGGAATACGGCTAACCTGATATTAATGATTGTGTGTGTATCCGGCTCTCCTCTAGTGTTAGAAAGCAGGCTGGTTTGACAAGCTTGGATTCTGTGTTAACTGGATCCACAGCTTCACTTGGGCCCTCAGTTTCACAGGTGAGTATGTGGATGGGCCCCCGGCAGCCTTTCAAGTGGATCTGGATAGATTCCTAGAACAGGACGTAAATATAAGTTCATATTACACATATTCCTTCCAGCTATCAGATGAGTGTCCTTTAATCATTATTCAAATAAGGGGTGGGCAAGATAACCAAAATGAAATGCAAATGTCCTTTCCCTGTTGTCCTTTTACATCAAAATCCACCAACATATGTCTATAGAAAGGTTTTTCACTTAGAAACTGTGCTTGATCTGTGCATACTTTTTCTCCCAATTCAGACGAGACAATTTTTTCCACTGGAGAAATCAATGTAATGGACAGGGGACTTGTATTAATGGTTTGAAGTTAAAAACATCTTAAAGATAGATTTGTTTATTACAAACACACAGCTTTTTACTTCACAGGATATGAATTGATGGACTGGAGTCATACTTGTGGTTTATTGAGATGTTTTTATCAGCTGTTGGTATTTCACTGCAGAGGACCCATTAGTGAGAATGTGATTTAATGCTAAATTTCTCCAGATCTGTTCTGATGAAGAGACAAGCTCATCTTACTTCTTGGATGGCCTGAGGGTGAGTCAATTTTTATTTTTGGAAGAACTACTCCTGTAATGGCAATCACAACAGCAGGCGATATAATATAGGCTTCTAATATAAGCTTCTGTCACTTTAAGACCTCACACATGGATCCAATATATATTGTCAAACCGCCCAGCCCTAATTAAAATTAGTGCTGTCAAATGATTAATCGCGATTAATTGCATCCAAAATAAAAAGTTTTTGTTTACATAATATATGTGTCTGTACTGTGTATATTTATGTATATATAAATACACACACATGCACGTATATATTTTGAAAATATTTACATGCATATATTTATATTTATATAATTTACATAAAAATATATTTCATATATAAACATAACATATTCCTCTTAAATATATACGTGCATGTGTGTGTATTTATATATACATAATAAATATACACAGTACACACACATATTATGTAAACAAAAACTTTTATTTTGGATGCGATTAATCGTTTGACAGCACTAATTTAAATATTACATTTTAAAATGACACGTAAGGCTCAAAGTCTTTCAGCATGTCTCTCACACTTACCTCAGTGGGAGTGGGCACCTCTAGCTTGGACTCTTCAGGGGCCCTGATGGCTATTATAGTCTGGTCCTTGAAAACACCAATCTGACAGATGTCCTCATATGTCACATAAGCTGAGGTACAACAGCAGTTAAGACCAAAAACAACTGAAAGAACTTCTATAACATTTGTTAGAAATACTATCACAGAAATATGAGAGGATATTCAGCATTGTCTTTGAGGTCGGTCAGGGCGAAGAGCTGTTGGGCACAGTCTTTGATGAGCCAGTCAAGGGCCTCCTCCGTTGACTTCAGATGAAGTAGGTCAGCTTTCGTCTTGGCGCTCCACTGGTTCCCCAAGCTGCTGTTTGGTGATGGATTCCTTGAACATGTACAGAAAAATCACTGTGTAAATCAAACCTCTAGACTCACTTCCAACTAATGTATTTCAATGGACAAATTTCACTTTTACAAACTACCAAATCTTGTTGTGGAACTGTGGAAGTAACGTTCTGTCTAAACTTACATCCACTGGATCTTGTTTTTGGACGTCTTTTTGATTAGCTGGATGCCTGCTAGCACATTAGTGATGTCATACACCCGCCTCTTTCGTGTGCCCAGTTTTCGAGTAACCTCATTGAGGTCAAGGACTCCATTCGGTGCCGAGTGAAGCAGCTGCATGAAGCGTTTGGTCAGTCGTCCAAGAGCAACGTCAGAGCGATTCGGAACTGGAATGAAAATTGAGAGCTTTTTTAACCTTTGGTCAAAGTGCATTCAAATTCTGTGCAGCATCAGAAAGTGAATGAATTAAAGACTTTTGAGAACATCCCATACCTTGACTGGTGGATGCCCCTGTTGCTTGATTCATATTGTTAATGTTGGGATAGCTGATTAAACTAAAAGAAAGGACATTATATAATTAATGGGAAAAATAATCAATATTGTTTCATTCCTTTTGTAGCAGTTATTTAATGTAGTGTTACCTTCCAGTGAGACACTGTCCTTGTACTTGACTATTCATGTTATGTGAACCATCATCTGCAAGACTGCGGTCTTCATCATCATCTTCCTCAAAATCCTCAAACTCCACATCATAAAGACCATCTTCTGCAGCAACCCCACCCTTTCAAGACAAAATTAAGGTTAATAACACTTGATACTGCATAGCGTTACCCAACGTATTTAATAGCAAAATCGCCCCAGCTATTTGAGCACATGTATTTTACTTCTTGATAACCCTTAAACAAGATGCAATAATTTTATTTTTTATAGATTTTATTTCATGAATTTTATTTCTGTTTGCAGCTGTACAAATATAGAGTTAATATGGAGCTCAGAAGGTAATAATGGCCAAATAAAAGCTTTAAACAATAAGGTAATATTGTTTCATATTAATTTTATCACATCATTTTGGATAAAACAGTAATGTTAATCCAAGAATAAATGTGACCCTGGACCACAAAACCAGTCATAGGTAGCACAGGTAGTCTATATTTGTAGCAATAGCCAAAAATGCATTATATGGCTCAAATGATCGATTTTTCTTTTATGGCAAAAATCATTAGGATATTAAGTGTAAAGATCTTTTGAAGAAGATATTTTGTAAATGTCCTACTTTTAAATATATTAAAACTTAATTTTTGATTAGTAATATGCGTTGCTAAGAACTTCATTTGGACAACTTTAAAGGCGATTTTCTCAATATTTTGATTTTTTTGCACCCTCAGATTTCAGATTTTCAAATAGTTGTATCTCGGCCAAATATTGTCCTATCCTAACAAACCACTCATCAATGGAAAACTTATTTATTCGGCTTTCAGATGTATAAATCATTATAACTGGTTTTGTGGTCCAGGGTCACAAATGCAAATGTATTTATTTATTTTTTACTTTTTCTCTTAATATAATAACACTTTCAAATGTACAACATAATGTGAATAGATTTGTTTTTATTCAGAATGATTTTCACACTGTTCCCAAATATGATCACGTTTACTTGTATTATAATGATGATTTATATGAGGCAGAGCATTATTATACGGCCAAAATACGGTTGTATCTGTATTATGTTTTATGGAGCTTTGATCAATGCATCATGTCAAAAATAGTGAATGACTTTCTGATGATTTTTATATATATATATATATATATATATATATATATATATATATATTTGGT